TTTCTCCTGTGCCTGAAGCAGCCCCTGGTTGTCGTCTCCACCTCTGACAGCATGGGCCTTTTTTTCCCTCATCATGTTTGACATGAATGTAAAAAAACACTCTCTTTCTGAAAGCTGCTACACCTGAATTATAAAACTTACTTACAGAACATGCATCACGCTGTTTCAAACTCTGACAGCTGCAATTACGGGAGCCTGTAACTTGTTTATACATGTGAACATTCACTATATACCCCACCAACCTTTATATACCATAGAAACATACATTTTTAAAGCCATTTCAGCTAATAACTTTGGCTGCCACAGTTCAAACATTCCATTGAATGGGGTCTACAGTATAAGTGTAAACACTTCTACCCTTAAACCTTCACAATAACCTTTCCATTTGAGCGCCATCTTCTCTGGATGGTTCAGATTGTGTCCTCACTCCGACCTAATCTCAGCACAGCTCTCCTGGAAGAGACAGACAGACATTTTCAGACATCTCATTGCTGTTGTTCAGTGCCACCTGAGTTTAAATTGCATCATTCTCTCTGTGGCAAAGTAAAGTAGAAAACACTGAGAAACCACTTCTAACGTGCTTGATTTTGGCTCGCTGAGAGCAGTGCCATTTGAACTGAGATTACTGCACAGAGACTTGCGTCACTATCTCTCTTGTTTTGTCTCTTTTTGCATGTATATTTCTTTCTTTTTTGCTAGAAGTCTCAGACTTTATTTTCCTTTCTTATATTTTATATTTGATCTTTCTCTTCATTTCTTGTATTTTATAGTCGTTCCCTTCCTCTCTCGCTCACCTCTCTGTCTGCCTTTCTCTCTTTAACAACAGGGACATTTGTCCTACATGCTGTCACTGAGGATTTCATTATAGCACAGTCATGCTCATCACACACGCACACACACCTACACACACACACGAATGGGCAGGGTTCATCAGCTTGGCTAGTTAATAGTTTATGGCTTCAGGCCTTCTGACTTGATTGTCTTTTAATGCCCATAAAAACACACCAGGCTGATACTGTGTGTCTTCAATGACACACATGCACACATAAGTACGTATATACTTGTGAGGACGTTCAGAGACATAATGCATTCCCTATTGTCTTACTCTAACATTAACCTAATCTGAGGGTAGTTTCAGATTGACCAAGCTTTATAGATTAGGCTGTGTTTTTGTAGTCCATATTTACGTATTTGCCACAAACAGCCAATGCACTGTGCAGATACTCTGGCTAGCTTACAAACACACTGATAATGTGTGTTTGTGAGACATGGGGCTGTTTATATTTTTGTTTTTGACGGCTCAGATTCTTATTGATCTCAAAACTTACCAGGAACTTCTCGTTTCCCACCAGACCCTCTCATTTTGATACCTGTCTCTGTACTGTAAGAGTAAGGTTTTTTTTCTTTACTGAAATTGACATATTTTCAACTTGCACATTTGCATCTTCACTTCATTTTGCGCCACATAAGGAATCTGCCTCCTCCGTTGTCAGTCTGAATGTTCAGTATGTTCCAAA